CCTTACTATTCCTAATTTGTGATTGAGATTAATAAGAGTGCTAGCTAGTTTCCATGCTAGCTTGCTAGTAACAGATCATATATGTATTTTTGTTGATAAATAAAAATTCTATATGTATAGTGGACAACTTCAATTCCCAAAAAATGTTTTAGCTTCCTTACTTCATTGTTTTCAAATTCTTTCGACAAACACTGTTTCAATGTTAATTGTTCCTTCTTATCATTTGTTGTTATGATAATATCATCAACGTATATTAGGAGATCTATAACTCCCCTTATCTCTGAATGTTTGATGAAAAGAGTGTGATCTTCTGGGGCGTGCTTAAGTATCATATCTATCATCACTCTTGTGAACTTGTCAAACCATGTTCTTGGTGATTGTTTTAATCCACACAATGCCTTCTTTAGTTTACATATTTATTTGGTCAAATTTCTTTGTTAATGCCTGGTAGAATATCTATGTAAATTCTTTTTTTCTAGATCATCACATAGGAAGATACTTTTACATCAAATTATTATAGTTGTCAACCAAAATGGACAACTAATGACAACAAAATTTGCACAATGTTCATCTTGGTTACTAGTGCAAATGTCTCTTAATAGTTAATCTCATATATCTGTGTACAGTCATTTGTCATTAGATTTTGGGAGGATGAATGGCTTGGAAGGTTTAAACTTAAAGAATGCTTTACCAGAATGTGAGTAGAGAGTTGTGGGCTTGGGCGAGCTTTTGTAAAAAAGAAAAAAACATTTGTTCCTTATTCCACTAACTATTTTTTAGGTTGTGTGGAAGAAAAAAATGCGAAACTTTTGAAATTATTGAGACTAATTTTACAAACATTAGAAATAGATAGATTTACACTTTTAGTTATGTTTTATTAGGTCATGACATCAAATATTGGGATGATTTTGGAATTGTTATGAACTACTTGATTGACTCGTAACTATACTTTGTAAACGGGCGGTACCCTCTTGGTACCTTTGTGCATAATAATACTTTTTTTATATTTTAAAAAAAAATCTCTCAATTGTCCTATCTAACTTATATTTGATTGTAAAAACGGATTTGCATCTCACCAGTTTTTTGCCTTTGGGTAAATCCATAATTTCTTAAGTTTGGTTCTTTTCAAGCACTTGCATGCTCATAGCATTTTTTTATTTTTTACAAAATAATATTTTAAATACTGTATTAGGATAAACTCATTATTTAATCTTGTGAAAAAATTTCTATGGATTGATGAACACTTATCAAATGGGACAAGCTGTGAGATAAGATATAGAGGATGTTTCGTGCATTCTCTTGTAACTTTAGAAATGCGATAGGCATATCACTATCAGATTGTATAAGTTTTTAGGACTTACCTCAGCTCTAGGATCATGATCGAATTCTTGGACCAGTTTTGGTTTAGTACTTGATATCTTCATTCTTATGTATACCTCAGAAAATCTAAGATTTGGTATAATCTCTTAAGAGGATGTATTTTGAAAGTTTTCTTGTGATGACGAATTTTTTGATGGGGTTTGAATGTTCTATTGTGGTGATCAATTTTTTAATGGATTATGAACGTACTTTTGTAATGATGGTTTTGAGGTGTGGTAAAAGTGGTATAAAGTCCGTTGAAAATTCTATATATTTATCTTTCAATTTTGCTCCCCCGGAAGATAAGGTTGGATAAAATAGAATTCTTGTTCAATAAATGTGAGCACTAGATAGGTTATATTTTGGTGTGGCAGGGCTGTTTTCCAGTGGGGCAGGAGCATTTTCTGATTATGAAGGGTGGGTTGTACTTTATATAAGCAAGCTGTAAAGGCCAGAAGTGGGTATAGGGTTTTTCTTATTGTCTTTTGGCGACAAAGGCTAGTTTAGGATTTTTGGAAAGAGTTTAGGTTTTTTTTTTTAACATTGCTATGATGCCATGTTAAGAATGGTTTGATGTGTATTATATTGAATATTATTACTCTATATATATAAATTTTTTAGAAAGGAAAAAGAAGTTCATAATAAATTATAAATGATTTAATTTACCCTTATACCATTTAATTTAATTTACTATCTCTTTAATAGTTCGTTTTCTGCAAAATACAACTAAGATGTATGTCACTTCTCCTCTAAGTAGATTTAACATCAAAGAACAAAATTATTGTTCAATGATTTATTTTTTCTTAAAAAACATTGTTCAAATGCTCTAATGATATCATTCACCTCTTTCACAATCTCCAATGCAGGCCAAAATGTTCTACTTTAGCACACATTCCTTGCTTGAAAAAACCATGAGATCAACTACATTGCAAGCCATTAAGATTTCAAAGAAATTAGGAGGGGTCATTTTCTATGATGTCAACCTTCCATTACCACTTTGGCACTCCAGTGAAGAGACCAAAGTGTTCATACAAGAAGTGTGGAATCTTGCGGATTTTATTGAGGTTACCAAGCAAGAACTTGAGTTTCTATGTGGGATTAAGCCCACTGAAGAATTTGACACCAGAAATAATGCCAGTTCAAAGTTTTTCCACTATGAACCGGAAGTGATTGAACCACATTGGAAAGAAAATCTCAAGGTTTTGTTTGTAACAAATGGGACTTCTAAGATACACTACTACACTAAGGAGCACAATGGTGCAGTTTATGGGATGGAGGATGCCCCCGTTACTCCTTTCACTCATGATATGTCAGCATCTGGAGATGGCATTGTTGCAGGTATGATTTAGTGGACTCACTTGAATATGGACATGTCTGCCCTCTGTCTCGAGACTTTGTAGAGAGTAGGTAGCATCTGAATTCAATAGTCATATCTTTTGAGCCTAGCCACAAGCACCATTAAAATATGCTCCATTTAATTTCCACAGTGATGTTTGTTATGTTTTACAAGATTAAACTTTATGATTTTGAGGCAAAATGAACAAAAGCTATTTTGGAATAAATGAGTTCGCCAAAGGTATGAAGTTCATTTACAAATCCACAATGTAAACCTAAAAATTTGCAAAACAGATGCATTTTTTTTGGGCGAAAATGATCTATTCCAAAATGCAGTATGATAATAATAAATGCTAATGAACATCGATCTTCTTTATCAACCTTTAGGTTGCATTTGCTTCATCTTTCATTTCAATTTCTACTTCTATCATCTATTGCTCTTCATATGCATAATTATAAGATTATTTATTGTCTTCGAGTACGCCCACTTTGAATTCTTTATAAGTGGATATTTAATTCCTATATTTTAAGGTGGGGGTTGAATTTCTACCCAAAAGATTCAAGGTGGGTTGAGGGCAACTAAAACAAACAAAATTATTTTGTAAATACACAATATTAATTCTGATATGAATATCAAAACTGGGAAAATTTGTTAGCAATTGAATGATAAATGAACATTATTATTTCATTCATGTAATAGTTCGTGAAATTTTCTGGGCATTGATCTTCTTGTAATCCACTTTAAGTTAAATACATCCTTGTTCAGGTTTAATGCGCATGTTGACAATTCAGCCAGACCTCATTACTGATAAAGGATACTTGGAGAGGGCAATCAAGTATGCAATCAACTGTGGAGTCATAGATCAATGGTTGCTTGCACAAACACGTGGCTTTCCTCCTAAAGAAGACATGGAAGAAGTGGAGCCTGATCCTGATGGTATAAAGTCAATAACAGAAAAGGAATACAGAACTTTGGAGTCTGTAAGTTGATCTGATTGGTTTCCCTGATCCATGTAGTTACATGTCTCTGTCAGGAGTTTCCTCTTCCTTGTAAAGCTCCCTTTGTCCATCTCCAGCATAGCTTTTCCTTTCCCCTTTCACTAGTGAAGTTTCTTGATGTAGCATTATCTATTACCATTTTTGAGTTGTAAGGCGTGAATCCATCCCAAAAGCTGAATAGAAGTTATTTACAGGTTCATTCGGTAAAGCTTTCTTCTCCATTTTCTCCTTTGGCTATCCTGTAGTCAAGAGAACATTGTAGGTTCTTCCTCTCCCTGCTTTTGGGGACTAGGGTTATACTGTTTGTTTGAATATCCAGCCAAGGCATTTAGTAAGATAGTTCTAATGGTTCTGCTCTCCAGCATATCAAATTTTGTAACTGAGTGCTGCACATGGTTTGACTTGTCTTATACTTTATTCGTTGGTTTGATTTGTTGAGACTTTTGTCCTTCCTCCAAAGGGTAAAAATTTTCTTGTGTCACTATTAATTTTGTGTAACTGATAGGTCTTAGTGACAAAGAAAGAAACTACTTTCTTTCAAGGAACATTAAATCATGACTTGGACATAATTTTTTAATGGGTTTCGACAGAGATGGATATTATTTCAGGGATTACAATAGTAGCATTAGTTTGTCGTAATCTTATCCCTGAGGAATGTGCTAGCCCACACTAGTCTTGATTGGGTTGGAGATAAATATCAATTGTTACTCCATTATTTAACCTTGGAATAGTTTGGAGCTACGTATGGATTTTGATTTCAGTTGAGTGTGATGTCAAATTATTGAGATGAGTTAGGTTTTATATTGTTTCTGAATGCTCACTTCTTATCAGTGTCTTTCCTTTTTTTAATCATAATCAAGGCCCAAATGCTTTACGAGATATACGCACTTGACTGATTTACCAATTTAAGAATTCCAAATTGATGCTTTTGCTGAATTTATCAAATTTAAAAATCTATTATCAATTTAAATATGCAGTTAGCTTATTCAATTCAGAACCAAAAAGAATTGCAAGTTGTCTGTCTTCAAACTGGGTTGGTTTTGTACAAAGTAAAAGGCATTTTTAATACTAAAAGCTCCTCAACATTTGCTGGACGTATGCGAGACAAGAGCTACAAGTTGTCGGTGGAGTTTAGGCGAACGAATCAATGCTACTTGAGTAAAAACAAAATACCAGAAAGAAAAAGAAACAGAAACAGATATTAAAAGTAAAACTTATATTCAAAGGAAAAAAAAAAACAGAGCCATATGCATTCTTCTTTGCCTAACAAATGTAACCATGGACATTATATATTCTCTCCATTAATGTCTAAAAAACTTCCATTATAGCTCAAGGGCCACAACTCTCACTTCATAGATAACGGGTATAAACTAACTGTTCTAGGAGAAACTCCACCTTGAGGACCATGAGAATGCCAACTGAAGCTGAAGCTTGATAGGTTTCTTGTAAAACAACAGTTTCAATTCTGTTTGATCTCTTAGAAAGCTGGCAATACTCAGAACTGCGAGAGAAGTAGGTGAAAAAGAAAAAAAGAAAAAAATGAAAAAAACTACATTTTGGGATTTGCACTATGCTTCCACATCCCAGTATCTGGATTTCTATGAGAAAGGTATCAGCCTGCCTTCACCTCAAGGAACCAGATATGGGGAAAAAGCTTTTGCATGGAGGCCTAAACTTTATTTGCCTCGTCTTACAAAAAGATCACCATACTTACCCAACTCATGAAAAAAAAAAACAAAACAAGACAAAATGAAGGCAGGCCAAAACGGCTAATGTAACCCGAAAAAGAACAAGCAAAAGCTAATGGAAGACGGAAGATTATATCAGGTTTTTGTATCCCACTACATACAAACTTACACTTAGGCAAGAGACTCTACTCGGAAAATTGAATACCATCAAGTTTTGAGGCTGCCGGCTTGTCCAAAAACCAGACCAACTTCCTTTTTGTTGGCTGGACCATTCGTGCAGGCAGTGAGGAGCAGTCAGGTCCTACATCATCAATTGCTAAGTGAACAGCCTCTGCTTTGCTCTCACCTGTCACGACCATGACCACATTGGCTGCTGAATTGATGATAGGCAAAGTGAATGTGATCCTCTCAGGTGGGGGCTTGGGAGAATCAGTTATAAAAGTTACCCATTCATCTTTCTCATCAAGCACAGAATGGTTAGGAAATAGTGAGGCAACATGACCATCAGAACCCATTCCAAGAAGAATCAGATCAAACTTCGGGCAGTCGCTAGTCTCAGAAACACTGACCATTCGTGTTTTCACTAACTGACGAATGACA